AGGTAAGCTTTGTCAGACACCGCAGAGCATCTTCCCATTACCTGGGAAAACACCACTCGGAGTCTTTGCAAGAGAAAGAAGACTGTAATGAACTGCACATACACAGATTGGCTTTGGTTGGGTTATTTGCAGTGTGCTTTTAAAACCTTCTTTTGTAGGAATGTAGGACTTCCATTTCTGCATTAAGTACACAAATAAGAGGATGGGAAGTGACTTTCAGACTTCGATTGGGATGAAGATCACAACTATGACTAAGTAGATGAAGGCAATGTTGAGATCCCATACCTTCCCAGTCCTTTGTTTGTGGATATTTAGTCTCAAATACTTTGATTTACAACAGAATCCCATGAAACTCTCTTCATGAGTGGAACTGGGCATTCTGCAGTTAGGACTTAGTACTGTAAGAGAACCTGAATAAAGAACAGTTCTGTTGACAAAAACAGAACTTGTACATGCAAAAGGATTGTCTTCCAATATTTGTCTTATAAAAAACACAATGCAAGAATGAGGTGACATGATGATTACTGGGTGCAGATATTTCTTTTAGGGGGAAAACAACACCCCAGTATTCAGCATCAGGATTTCTCTTTTGTCTACTCCGATGGAACTGTGTTGATCCTAGATGGATTTTCAGTTCCTGAGGATATCAGCTGGAAATGGAGCCAGCTGACTTCTGCAGAGTAAGGCAGTCTTACTTTCAAGAGCGTGTCCTTGAGTCAGTTGTGTCTTATTTCAGACAGAAGGTAGCACAGACATGGAATATAGGATGCTAGGGATATGGAGGGTAAAAAATAAGAATAAGGCAAGGGGGATGCAACTTTGGAGAAAAACTTCATTTTTTGTTTATTATGTGTTTGGGGTAAAGGTGTATTGTCTTTTTCTTTTTCAGACTTTTTTTCCATCTGGTTATCTTATTCCTCTTACTCAGTGCGCCCATGGCAACAAGGCAGGCTTTTCTAAAGAGAAAGCTGGGATATGTTCCTTACAGCACACTACCTACGCCTCACCCATTGCTGGTGAGTATTAAGTAAAATAGGTGTCGAGTTGTCTGGCTTAAGGATCGTGGGCCAGATTCATCCTACTGAGGTGATGAAATCACAATGCAATGGCTTGAGTCTCAATTTTTAATCCCCTTCAACAGTTGATTTTTCTGTTTCAGGTGTCATTCCAGTGACAGCATCTGAACTGAAAGCAGTTAACATTCCAAAAACTGCTTTCCATCTAACACCCATGAATATCATGCTGTCACCAACTTCTCTAGCTGCTGCCCCTGTACTGAGCAACTCCTGTCTCAATTCAAGCAACACCAGTTCTGCCCCAAACCCAAGTCCTTCAGTTCTGAACTTTACTCTGCAACACGTAGGACTAATACCTGCTGGTGTGCAAGTTCCTGCAAACCCTGTTCTCCAGCACGTGGCAGTCTCTTCACAACCAGAAAATGTTACCCTTACCTCTGAAAACATGAGCTTGCAAGAAGAGAAGGTGAGTAAAAATATATTGTAGCTTCTTGGCTGTGGTGGGTTGAGTGAGAAGTAGAGTTGTCCTGTGTTAAGCAGAGACAGAGTTAACTTTCTTCATAATAGCAGTAATTTCTTTACAGCAGGTGGAATTTTTAAATAAACATTTTTTTTGTAAACCAGCACTGCCCAGAAAGATCTGGCGGTGAAGGCTAGCATAAGTACAATAGAATTGAGAGGTTAGAGATGAAGAACAAATATCTTATTTGTTGTGGAAGTGGAGACAGCTGGAAGATGAGAAGATGTGATGAGACAACTGTTGTAGAGGGAGGATTTTGCACAGACCTGAGGTGACACTTATTAACAAATTGTCCATTTGTTACTTTTTTTTCCTTGTTGCTCTCCTAATCTACTCACAAGTTCTTGCATTTAATGTTAGCTTTTTTAATAGAATGTTATTGTAGAGGGTTTTAAAGGAATATTTTTTCCACAGGAAGTTTCTCTGTATATTTTATGTAATACTGTATTGCCTAAGATCTGTTTGTATTAAAAAAGGAGTTAGGAGCAGATTAGAGAAACCAGATTCTTATTTAATTATTTTATATATATACCTATCAATATATCAAGGAGTACAAGTATATTCTTCTCAGTAAAGAATTGTTAAGTTTTTAAATTTCAGGAAACAAAGTGCATTTGCTAACATGCTGCAGAAACCTAGAACTAGAATTCACCTTTTTTTCCTCTTACCCTTAAATGAAGTAACTTTCTCTCTTCTCTTCAGCCTTCTGTTCCAAAGGAACCGCAAGAGCCCCAGACAGTTACAGAAAACTTTTTTCGTACACCAGGAGGACCAAACACAGTATCTTCACTATCTGCAAACTCAGATGGTACTGAGAGAATCTCTCAAGGAACTCAGTATATTCCTCAACGAAAACTTGAAGTGTCAGAAGACTGATTTTAGGATATTGAATTGCTGAATGTGTTAGCAGGCATAATTACTGGTAACACGCTGCACACATCTGGGATTTTATGACGGACCATGTCTGTTTTGGACGTGTATTGGCAAGACCTCAATACTGGAATAGCCTTAATTAAGCCTTAGGATTAAAACTGGCTCTTGATGAGAAAGTTAATGTCTAATTAAGTTAATGTCTCTTTTCCAAAAGGCTTACCTGAAGTATTATAGCAACAAAGTTATGTATCTAGTGATTTTTGTGTTGCTTTTCTGCTATGCAAAGTAAGCTGAAATTGTCTTTGTACAGAAAGGTACAGTCTATCAGTCAGTACATATTTTGCACAAAGAAAAGTACTGTGAGTGTGTACATATTTTATGTCTTAACCAAAAGGCCATAGTTAAAATGTCTTGCTCCTATGTTCAATAATGCTCTTTTGTAAAGTTAGTAAAAAAAAAAAACCCACAACAAAAATTTAATTCTTAATCAAATTTTGTATAAGTTAAGAATTATTTATACTGTATTTTTAAATCAATTTGTTCAGATTAAATTTACATCAAACTCAAATCTTGACTTTTGTTTTTTTGATCAAATGAAATTACCTGAATTAAGTAATACATTGTACATTCACTGGCCCCTCTTCATCCCTTTTGTGTCAGACAGGGGTGTCTCTGTGTTCTGAAGAAAGGAAAAATGGTATTTCATCAGAAATCGGAACTCTATCACTAGTGTAACGCTTGACCTAAGGTTTTGTAACCATCTAAAATGGTTTGTGGCAGAAATCCCAGCGGCAGGTGCTGAAGCACTATTTACTGGGGCGAGCATTAAGCTCTGGCTTCTGGAAGGAGGGACCCCACGTCTCTTGGACACACACACACCACACTGAGGCTGTGCCGTTAGTTTCTCCTTTCCAGCCAAGATCAATGTCAGCCTCCAACTGTTGTTTCTCTCCGACTCCAATGTCATTGCAAACAGGTTAAGTTAAACCAATGAAGTATGTACAGCGGTCTCTTCCACGCCGAAGGAAGATGAAGCTCACACTCATCTTAGATGACAATCAATAACTAACAAATTAAAGCAAAACACAGTGTATCTGCCTGCCCAGGTGAAACGTGCCTGGCTGTCCAAATTAGGACACGAGAAACGCTAACAAAGCCCAAGGTTCACGCTTGGACTGGGTAAAAAACTGCACAGCTAAAGCAGCCAACACCGTAAAACTAACTGGCTTGCTTTTTAATAATGCAGAATTATTTTATAATACAAAATACACCTAACAGAATAGGATAATTATTGGAATACTCCTACCTGACAAGGAGAGAAGAACAAGAGCCGGGAAAGGGAGGAACTCTCAATGCAGCAGCGAGCAGATTTTCTTTCTTCTCCAGGGTGGTAATGGATTGATTGTCTTTACACCTGCCATCAATTTCATTCTAGGAGCATAAAAGCAAAGGTTTATAGAAACCTGCATTACTCAAAGGTAACAAACTACAAACCTTTCACTTCTGGACACCACAGTTGACAGAATAAGAAACTACAGTAATTGGGCTTGGAGGAATGGTTTTCTCACAAACTGCTGTTTTGAAAAGCTGAACACACATTCTGACTTGCTGCCTAGTGTCCCTTGGCTCCTGTCAAAATACAGTTGCCTTTTTTTTTTTTAAATACCTTAGCACTGTGTTCTTGTTCGTTTTGCAGGCTGAAAAGCTCCTGCTTCTCTGCTCCAAGTATCCTATATCCCCAGAAGTCGCATTTTCTCCGACCAGCTGAGCTCGCTGCTCTTTCCCCGCCTCACCTCCCCTCCAGTGTGACGCAGGTACCCGACGTGCTCTGTTGCCAAGCTCTAGGAAAGTCCCTCTGACCCTCAGGCTCACTTTGCTGTTGATACGCTGCATTCCGGTTCTCCGAGCCGTGTTTTTTAATCCTTACCTTTGATTGATAGAAATGGGAAATATAGGGGGGGAAATGCACAGGGGCAGCCAGTATCTGGGGTAGCACAGTGGTACAGCAACAAAGCAACATCCAACACCAGGAAACAATGTTCCTTGCCTTTTCCCCTTAAATTCTCTGCCAAAGGGAAAATACTTACTGAAATTTTGGGGCAAAACCTTTCTCCACACATTTCCCTGCTGCAAATCCATCCAAGCACACGATCTACCTGGCGCAGCCGCCGACAAGAGCGAAGATGAAAGCAGATTCAGCTCTCTCAGATGTCAAGGGTCCTAGCACAGGTCACCAAGGTGCAAACACAAAGTGGTCACAAGCTTCTCAGTGCTCTCCCCGTACTCCGACAGCACACTCGGTCCTGCCCCAGCCCCTCCTTGCTGCCGTCTTACAAGAAACGTTCACAGCACGTACACTGCACCGTCACCTCTGCGTTTAGCTGTATTGGACACGGGCAGATTTCCCTTAACTATCCAGGGAGAATAAAGAGGATGACAGATCCCAGCTCTCCTGATCAGGAGAAAACAGACCTCCAACTTTACATCAAGGACCTGTTTCTGGATTATAAAACCTTTGCTGGCCTCAACAGTCAGTGGGTCGATAGGGTCCTCAGAGTTTTCAAAGTAGTCTCAGGGAGCTGAACCCTAAATTCCTAAAGTCTGACACAGATTTGGCATCTAATTTTCTTCTGCTCCCCTGAAAGTCCCAAAGTTGAGACCGTCAGCTTCCGACTCATGGTGCTGAGCCCCTGGGCTTGGCCCTGCCGCCCACAACAAAGCCCATGACCCTGAATGAAGATGCTAAATTCTGACGTTCCTTCAGAAAATGAGAATTAGCTTCTAAATCTGTGAAGCACTCAAAATAAAACCCTGCAAAAGGTGAACTTTAAGTGCTTCATACTTCAGTCTCCTCATCTCCACCATGTCCACAGCATCACCCATTTCCAAGGGGCTCAGCGAGGCACGGCAAATACAGCGGCAATGATGAGACATGCTAAACATTATACACACCAAACAGCCATCTTGACACCTAAAACCACTAAAAATTTAAAGACAAGAGTGGAAAGTGTAATTCTCTGTACCCTAGAAGAGAAACCAGTTGTATCTATCAAATCATGAACTGCTGAATGAAATTCTATTTGGTTTAAAACCATTAAGTTCCAGAGGCTCCTACAAACAGGTGGGGTTTTTTTGAATTTTGGTAGATTATTTTTGACAATGTGATCACTTATAGCTAAATCCTCATTTCAGGCACCATTATTTTATGATTCACATTTAAGAAACGCAGTAGCAACTCTTCCTGTATCTTTATTTCTGATCTCTTAGGCTGCCGTTGGGAATGCTCTCGAGGCGTAATCTGAGGGGCCGCATTGTTGTCCACCTACTCACAAGTGGACAGAAGGGAACAAAATGCCAGGCTTTTGTCAGAGGTTATTTTCAGCTTGATGATAGCAATGGCATTGCTCAGATCCCTGAAACTCTCTCTCATTCCCCTCCCCTCCCCGCTTCCCTAGGGCCCACAGCAGTGGCCACCGCATTTAAAGAGTGCCGGCATCCCCCGCGTCCAAACCCTTCGAGCCCTAAGGAAACGGAGAAACATCACGCGCCCCCGGTAAGTAGAGTATAGACTGTCTGATATAAGGGTTTGGGTGGGTTTTTTCTTTACTAACATGTAGTAAAAACATGTTAGACTGGATAAGAGAAGTTTTAGAATCTTTAAAAAATGTGGTTACAAAGCCACAGGGTTATGTTTTCAACAAGAGTTGGTCTTTGTACATGCACTTTTTAAAGCGCACAAATTTACGCGCTTTCATAATATCTCAGATAAAACTATTGTAGAAGTAAAAAAAGCCCACAAACTCCAACCAAAAAATCCTCAAAATATTTAATATCAGTGACCAATTGGTTTTATATTCAAATGAGAAGAAAACTTCACAGACCCTACAGAAAAGAGCCAGACAAGAACACGGGATGAACGAATTCACACATCCATCACTCAAGCGTTAAAAGCCAGCACAATTGGTGAAAGCTTCGGAAAAGCCTCATTAGTTTTTGTTTTGTTTTGTTTTGTTTTTTAAAGAAGTTACCTACTTTGAAAAGTTTTCTACCTACAGGTAAAATTATTTCAAAGAATAAAGTCTTGTGCATAGATAAAATAATTTGGTGTCTGATCTCAATCCTCACGGCACCATTTCCCGGTCTGTAAATGGTTCTGCTCAGCGCTTAAATGACTTAGCACACAGATAAGGATTTAGAGAAGGACCTAGTGGGAGGAAAAGGGAAAGTCGATAGCCCAGGATTAGGTCTGGAAAAAGGAAGAGGTCATCTGGACAGCAGAATGCAGTTTCCCGCAGCCAGAGGAATCAAACTGAATTCCAGGGTGTGTGTGAGCATGGGGCAGGGGGGTGGTTTCTTTAAGTCAGAACTAAGTACCTCATCCTAGGGTCGGGGCACCTTATTTTTTAGAGGTGCAATCTAAAATTCTTGAAAAGTGTGAATCAAGGAAGTTTTAAAACAAATGTGGCATTACTATGCTAGAAAGGATGATTGGGAAGGACACAGAGACGAAAGCAAAGGATGCTCAGGAATCTGGGGATTTCTATCAGCACCGCACATCGTGGGCTTTGGAGCAAGTCACTTAAAGTATTTTGTTTCAAAAGGGCTTGTGTAACTTAGAGTGACCAGTGTCAATGAATAATCAGTATTTACTTGCCTGTAAATATGTGCATTGGTATGTGCAGGAATAAAGGAAAAATGATAGTCATCATGAGATAGTGGTGGCGGCTAAATGTACGGCAACAACAAACCTAAATTTATCTGTATCCATAGTCCATTGAATGCACCAGAATATAGGAAATACAGCTATAAATACATAAGACTATTGCATCTGTCATTAAATGAGCTCGCTCTTCAAACACAAACATTTCCTGCCAAGAGATAACGCTTTCTGCAGAGGATTGGATTTTGACAAAAACACCTTCGGGCTTTTTGAGATTCAGCAAAATTACACTGCAGAGACACCAAGATAAACCCAAACAGCGAGTGCTAGTTGCAGAGAAAAG